GAAATTGGATCGGTTCTCGGGCTTGGTTAAAATCGCACGATTAATAAAATAAAATCTGACCAAAATATATATATATATAACACATTTTATTATTTTATTAATAATACACAATTAAACACATCATATTTTAAAATAATAATAATAATAATAATAATAATAATAATAAGAATAATAATAAAAATAATCAATAATAGAAATAATCAATATTTATTCCGAAATAATCCACAATAAAACGGGGTATTACAGTAGCCGACTTTGTAAGGAGATGTTTAACCTGTCAGCAAGTCAAAGCCAAGCACAAGAGTCCCATAGGCCTTCTACGACCACTGTCGATTCGGAAGTGGAAGTGGGAGGAGGTTACGATGGATTTTGTCACGGAGTTACCGAGGTCGTCTGAACATCACGACGCTATCTGGGTCGTGGTCGACAGATTGACTAAGGTTGCTCATTTCTTGCCAGTATCGATGAGTATGTCTTTGGACAGGTTGGCTGAGATTTATGTACGTGGGATCGTTCGACTCCACGGAGTGCCTGTTACTATCGTATCAGACAGAGATCCCAGGTTCACCAGTAGATTCTGGCAGAGTTTACACGAGGCGATGGGCACGAAGTTAGCATTCAGTTCAGCCTACCATCCAGAGACTGACGGACAGACAGAACGGACCATACAGACATTGGAGGATATGTTGCGAGCTTTGGTTGTTGACAGGGGTGCTAAATGGGAGTCGTTATTACCGTACGTTGAGTTCACGTACAACAACAGTTATCATTCTTCTATTCAGATGGCTCCTTATGAGGCACTGTACGGTCGTAAATGTCGTTCCCCTCTTTATTGGGACGACGTCGGTGAACGTCGAGTACTCGGTCCGAAATTGATCGAGGAGTTGAGTTGATCCGACAGAGACTCAGAACAGCTCAGAGTAGAATGAAATCAATCGCCGATCATCATCGATGAGATATCCAGTTCGAGGTTGGCGAGCACGCTTTTCTTAGAGTTAGTCCATTCCGCGGAGTCGTTCGATTCGGGAAGAGAGGGAAGTTACACCCTCAGTTCATTGGCCCGTTCGAAGTACTTGACCGAGTGGGCGATGTTGCGTATCGTTTAGCCTTACCTCCAGAGTTATCCGGTGTTCATGATGTCTTTCATGTATCTATGTTATGCAAGTACGTGTGCGACCCCGATCATGTCATTTCTCACACTGATATTGAGATTCATCCAGATTTATCTTACAAGGAGCGACAAGTAGCTGTGTTGGACCGACAGGTTCGACGACTCCAAAAGCGTGATGTTCCCCTCGTTCGTATTCAGTGGGATCGCCACGGAGCCACTTGGGAGCAGGAGGCTGACATTCGCACTCGTTTTCCTGATTTTCAGTTTTGATGTATATATATCTTTCATATATATAAGTTTCGTTTTGTATTTTCGAGGACGGAAATATTTTAAGGGGGGTAGATTGTAATATCCCAGTTCCTTATTAATGAAGGTGATGTATTTTCTTTTATTAATCTCGTTCATTTTCAGCATTTAAGTAAATAAGTTCGACTTTAAGTCGAAAAGTTATTCGGTTATTTATTAACCGAGTTAAATTCGATAATTAATTTCCGACCCGTTTATTTTATAAACGGACGTTGCTAATCGGGATTTATTATTGAAAGTTAAGAACATTTGAAGTCAAAAATCAAACTAAGTTATAAATGTATATAAGGTACACTATGCACGCGTGCATGAACGCATGCCGTGCATAGCCGTGCGAGTAGCACGCGTAACGCGCGTCATTAGGCCCTAAACACCCACTTGAGCAACACTTAGCAACATGATCAAGCAAAGCAAGCTCCAAATCCCCTTCCTTAAGCTTGTCGTCCAAGAGTAACTTATGATAAGTGTTGGGTGTGCAAGTGGTGTGGTGAGTCACCTACTTGCTTGCACACATGGCACAATACGCACGCACGGGCGATGACTAAGCCCGTGCATGCTTGCCACCTCGGCCAATGACTCAGCCAAGAACGCCCACCTCAGCCACGTTTGGGACACATGTAATCAAGGGAGGTGTTGTCATCTTTCACCTCCTTTGACCCAACTTCACCCTCGGTTTTTACTCCTTCAAATGACCGAGCATGTGGGACGTGTTCCCCATGCATTTTCATGCAACTTTAGCCCAACTTCAGCGTCCGAATAGAGAGAAAACAGTGAGGAAAAATAAGGGAAAAATCATACAAAAATAGCTCATCATTGCCGAAGTAAAAGGGAAGCAAGCACGCACGCACTCGAGCACCGGGTACGCACGCACATCACTGTGCACTCTTCGACCAAACTGAAGGTTATACATTCCTTTACCCTCTTTTTATGTAGCTAAGTTCATATTTGCAAGATCATATTGATATCATGTCGTTCGGTCCAAGTTTTGTACGAAAATGGCCTCGGAGGTGCTAC